ACTGTCAGCACAATTACGTGGCCCTTATTAGCAAGCGGTCAGAGATGTGGATGGGTGCTCTGATACTGTGATGCAATCGTTGTTGATCATTTTCTTGCTTTGTTTGTTTCTCTTTGTATTGTGAACTGAAATCTGACAAGTACGATGCACTTTATGAAAGGAACATGCTACACGTCGCAATGTAAGTGTGGAATGTAATCCTTCCTAAAAATTAGGGATGCACCGATACCGATACTGGTATCGGTATCGGGCCCGATACTGGCCTCCTGTACTCGTACTCGTACTCGTTAAAATGCCCCGATACCAAACGCCGATACCACAGTATTGTGAACTGAAATCTGACAAGTACGATGCACTTTATGAAAGGAACATGCTACATGTCGCAATGTAAGTGTGGAATGTAATCCTTCCTAAAAATGATTTATTTTTTATTACTGTAAATATGACAATACTGAAACAAAAAGAGAGTGGGTGAGCGAGAAGAAAAAAACAACAACATGTGGAGAATACTTTGTCAAATAAAATTCAGCAAACTTAATCACAGTCTATGGTTGTTTGGTGTTTTGTGTGTGTGTGAGGGGGAAGGACAGACTCAAACAGGTCATCGTTTGAAGGCGGCTCAGCTTTAAAAGGCTTGGGTATGAATTATTGAGCCGTTCTGTTTTACGTAACGTGCGCTGTCAGGATCACGGTGAGTGTGGGATCTGAATGCCAGAGATCTTGCCGAGCCCACGCTGTGAGGTGATGGGAAATTCGCACCTTTTTGAAGGGGTGATCGAAGCGTCCTGCTGTAGAAAATGTATTATCGATTTAGCAGAATTAACTTACTACTAAGTTATGTTCACTTTTATAAAATCATAATCGATTAATAGGGGGACTCCTCAAAAACACTTCAATATTTTAGAATCTCTAATTATTATCTTTTTTCGATTTAAGTGATGGCTACATATACTCAGTCACAACGCTAAATATTTGTTACTCACTTATGTTGAACAACAAAAACAGTTTTATTATAGCCTATTTTCAATAAAGAATGTGTACTTTTATTGATCTTTTGGTGACACTTTATTTTAAGGTGTCCTTGTTACACATGTTAGGCTACATGTACTTACTATTGTAATAACAATATATTATGCATAATTACGTGCAAGTAACCCTAAGCCAAACCCTAATCCTTACTATATAGTAAGCACATGTAGGCCTAGCTAATTAATATTTCTTAGTACTTAAATGTATAATTAGCTGTAACAAGAACACCTTAAAATAAAGTGCAACCGATTTTTTCACTGAATTAATGTGTAGCCTGATCTTTGTGACATTATAACCCATTCTCTAAACGAAGCAATCAATTACCATCAATGAAATTTAGTTTCTTTACGGTTAGGACCTATAGACAATTTCTAACAACTTACACTATCTGCATAATTATACATATTGATTTGCTGTAAGATACTTCAAGAAAACTTTCAATTAATTATATGCATTACATGCTAATACCTGAAATTCAATATTGACATTGAATTTGTTGGAAGCGGACAAAAGTTTATTATATTAAGATATAAAGATTATAATAAAAATAAATGTAACAAGTAAAACTGTGTATATTAATTATAAACAAATACTAGGGCTACTACTAGCAAAGCTGGGTATTACTTACAAATTGTAATCCGTTACTGATTCCAAATTACATGACAAAAATTGTAGTTAGTAACGTAATCCATTACATTACACATTTTAAGTAATATAATCAGACTGCTTTTAGATTACTTTTGACCTAACTCAGGGGCGTAGCCATCATTTCAGAAGTGAGGGGGACAGAAATGTTTTATATACATTTCTGTAATCTATATAACCTACCAGTCAACAGTTTTTGAACAGTAAGATTTTTAATGTTTTATAAAGAAGTCTCTTCTGCTCACCAAGCCTGAATTTATTGGATTCAAAGTACAGCAAAAGCAGTAATGTTGTGAAATATTTTTACTATTTAAAATAACTGCTTTCTATTTGAATATATTTTTAAATGATTGCTGTGATCAAAGCTGTATTTTCAGCATCGTTACTGCAGTCTTCAGTGTCACATCCTTCAGAAATCATTATAATATGCTGATTTGCTGCTCAAGAAACCTTTTTTAATTATTATTACTATCATTATTTAAAACAGTTGAGTAAATTTTTTCTGGATTCTTTGAAGAATAGAAGGATCCAAAGATCAGTATTTATGTGAAATAAAAAGCTTTTGTAACATTATACACTATACCATTCAAAAGCTTAGAGTCAGTATAATTTTTATTTTTTTGGAAAATAAATTATAGAAATGAACACTTTTATTTAGCAAGGATGCTTTAAATTGATCATTACATTTTAAAATATATTCAAATAGAAAAATAGTTATTTTAAATAGCTTAGTAAAAAATATTTCAAAATGTTACTGTTTTGCTGTGCTTTGGATCAAATAAATGCAGTCCCCCGCATAATCTATGCCCCTGACCTAACTCATTTATCACATGGATTTAAATAGGATAATCTTGTACCATATTGATAAAAAAGAAAATGTTTTCCATTCATTGTTATTAACAACATGAAGTGCATTAAACATTATATTACATCATGGTTTCCCAAACTGGGTTTGTGAAGGAACTGCAGGGGGTTTATGAGTTTTTAATGAAAAGATAATATTATATATATGTATATACAGTATTATATAATATATATATATAATTTGTTTACCTGCATGTCATGTGGTCATAACCAACGCCAGACAACCATGAACATGCAAATGTAATATTTAATTATTAAAATATTTATTGTAATTTATTTTAAAATATTATTAATAATTAAAAGATGATTTAGTCAAAAATGCATCAGAGTGTGATTGATTGACTTGGCAGCATCAAATAATCATTTATTGCGAACTGAGTGGCACTAAACGACAAAAACTGTTAAAAAGCACAAAAGAAAAATGATGTCCATTGAGAGTTAAAGGGTTAAACATGATAAAACACTAAACAAACCCGTCCTGAGGTAAAAACTCGATGCTTCCCTCAGCAACAGTTAACGCTTGCCAATATTATCTCAAACAGATACACGCACACAAGGGAGAGAAATAAAAGCTTGGTGGACAGTGGTTAATTGAGTTCACCTGGTTATTAGACAGAAGGAAAATACTGAAATTGATGTCCAGAAAAGAATGAACTCACCCACTCTTCAACGGTAGACTAATAAGTGAGAAATTGCGCATCCTGCTGGTAATTTGGATGAATCACAACTAATGAATGCGCGTAGAGGCAGGACAGTAAGGTTTACCCACATAACCTGCCTACACATTCACTCATTCATCACGAACACGCACACGGTGAAAAGCAGGGATGACTCACCGGGCGCACACGCCCACGCATGCGGACAGAAAGTGAGAAGTGCCAGTATCACCGCCTCAACAGGACTGAGTCACACTACAGCACTACTGAGACAGTCACCACCAGAACTGCTCCAATCACTGCCTCAACAGCACTGAGTCACACTACAGCACTACTGAGACCGTCACCACGAGAACTGCTCCAGGACACAAACATATAGACCGCATCACACAACATAACCTCCTCTTATACATTGTTATTATTACACTTTCAAAGAACTATAACGAAGACAATAAAGACAGCAAGACTTTAACGAGGCCCCAAACAAAACAGATTAACAACACTCTTGACTGTGAGCTAGTGCATCTGGCGCATGACTACAAGCTCATCTGTTACTGTTTTGCCCCGTAATCTTCCCTGAATCATAGTGAGTCTCCCTTCGCTCCTTCTAAATGGTCTCCTTCTCCATTAGACATGCACACAAACAAACTTAAACAGGAAAGAAGACCCACTAAACCATTTTCTGAGAACTCACTAGTAACCATTCCCTGCATCCCTGTGGAGATTTAAAACATTTTCCAGCAAACAGGCTCACTTTAAAAACCCAATTTGGCAGCTCTACAAAAAGCTGAAGGAGACAATGAGGGCAGTGAAACAGGAGGGAGATGCGTCACAGATTCACACAGCCGATCATTCCTGCTGTAAGTCACGACTGTGACTGAGGCACGTCTGACCTTCCTCAAAGTTAAGATCAGGTGAACAAGACCCCGGTCACCCTCAGTTCTCTGCCAATTTAGGAGGGATGAGAAAGCTTAATAGTAAAAACCTGAAATGAGGGAAAGTGAGGGAGAAGTCAAAGTAAATGCTGAGGATCATGTAGCAACAAAGAAGGCTTCTCAAGCACTGCCTGCCTCTGAAGTAATGTGATCTATAGCATGTGTAAAATTATAGGGCTAAACTGAAGGATACAATCCATAATTCAATAGAGACAAAGTTTAAGGAAGGGATGGACAGGCAGTGAGATTAAAGTGAAGGTAATGGTTTTGCAATACAAGAAAAGGTACTTGATGCTTGCAGTATTAAAATGTTTCCCACAAACTTTAGCCAATGAATTTCCACGACTTTGCTAGTCGATTGTGGTTACCTCAAGATGCGGTTACATCATGATTTTCATTTAAATTTCAAAAACATTGCTGGAGTAGATTTCTATTTCAGTATGAGCACCAATCCATGAATAAATAGTTGTAAATTATTCTTATAATTGCAGAGATGTAAATAAGAAATAAATGAAGTAAATACCCTGCGATTTGAATGCGATGTATGGTGGAAACAGATAGCATATTTTAGATCAACGCATAACTACAAAAATATTCACACTATTAGAAATCAGAAATTTGTTTTAAATTAATTTCTGGTAACCACAGTTTAAAAAACATGTCCAGGCTTTCCATTATTACAAGAGGGTTCCTTTGATCATAGAAAGACTGAAAATGTTTTAATTAGGTAAACAAAGCAACAAATCATTAAATCGCAAAAATCCAAGGTACCTTTAGACATTACTGATTCGACTTTAGTACATGCTATTAAATCATTTAAAAATAAATTGAAATATAAATACCAAATGTTGCCACAAACCACACCGAGGAATGTTTTAAGAAGCACTTTAATGGCAGTCCAAACATGCATGCAGCACTTGCCGACATTATATATATATTTTTTTTTTTGATACATTAATTTTCATACTGTTTCTTAACTATATAAATCAAAGTTCTGCCATTTTAACAAAGTTCTATACATCACATTGTTTAAAACACAAAGGACTTCATTCTTTACATACAAAACACAGGTTAAACACACAGCTCATGATAGCTGTTAAGTTGGGAGAGGTTAACTCAAAGCCTCCCTATTTGTGCAGTGAGAGACACATTTAAGCAAATAAATAGAAAATAAAAGCTGAAATACTGAAGTGCTCTTATTCTGTACAAATTAGCATATATAGCATTTCAAATGCCTCAGAGGGCAAGATGATTCCAAATTAAAACACTGGCAAACAAAACTAAAAACCAAAAATGCAAACCAGCTGTTCTTACAGAGCACAGTGTTAATTTCTATTTATGTTTATGGGTACACATTACCAGGTCAAACAGGTAAGAGCACAGCTGTTTTCATTGTTGCCTGCTTAATTATGCTGTGTTTGTTGCCTTGGTAACCATGCAGTGACATCTACTGTGGTTATAGTGAGATGACTGACAAGCGAACAGTTTGATCCTTTAGGGGACCGATGGCCACGCATTGTATCCATTTGAAAAGACACAGAAAACTAGGAGTTTTTTCCATCCCTGAAGAGACAAGGAGGAAAAAAAAAACAACATAAAGAAATTGATTCTGACACAATTAAAGATACAATCTATAATTACCACCACAGCACCACTTGTACCTCAAAACATTAAAGTATTGTGTTTAATGAGGCTATAGATGAATAAGAGCCCAGTTCTGTTGTCTTTTGTAGTTGCACTACAAGTAATTGTCTACAAGTAGCAGCAATCAATTTGTGATTATGTATTGGTGGATTCAGAATGCACCAGTATAGTAACAAATCTTTTTACTTGAAGCCAAGAAAGCAAATGAAAAATCATTCCAATCCATTAAAATGGGTTAAATTATTTAAATTAGTTACATCTGGGGAAATAGCATCACCAATAACGAACGTAAAGCATCACCACCAAGCCTCTCTGCATTTTTTAAGATACAGAAAATGTTATATTCCCAACAGAATTTCACTGATTCAGATTGTCTATCCATGCTTTTCAATTAGTTGGGATATTTGGAATGCAAACTTTTATAAATTTTAATCAACAAATGAAAATCTATCATTTGTTTTGTGCTCTATCGGAGCAAATCGCTCAAGAATATTGCTTTTTAGACTTGCAATGTTAATTTCAACTGGTTTGCTATCTGCCTGATACTTGGTCAACATGCATTCAAAAGGATAAAATGCATCCATTTCTTTGGGCTTGAATATAATTTTTTTTAACGTAAATGCTTAGTATATTAGCCTTAAATACATTTACGTCTATATTCTCTGTCCTTCAAGTTGTAGTCCTGAGCGAGTAGGACTAAAATTAACATTGCATGATCATCCAGCTGGCTGTTCTAATAATTATGAGGTCATATTCTAAGGTTAGTGAGCGAGAGAAAGAGTGCAGGAGAGAGGACAGATGGTAGGACCACCACATTCAGAGTATGTGATGAATAGTGTCAGGTGGTGGACTCAAGCCCGCTGCGTAGAGGAGCCGATCTCTAACGGACATTGTTCTATGGGGTCAAAACTCTCATTAAACTTCACTGTCAAGGCTTCAATTTAAGATGTACAATCTAAAATTAAAAAGTTTCTGGTTCTGTCTCTTTGAGACTTTGTAGTTACGCAGCCCCTTTTAAAAAAAACAAAACACAGGAGCTGTGTTATATTACTGCAGACAGACATCGGCATGCTACATTAGTTGTGATAATTCTGTTCTCTGAAACCTACGCCCTAACGCTTACTTCATGTTTTTTTATTCTTCTATTGTTGTTTTCCTGTCTCAGTCAGACCACTCATTTTCATCCAGCTCAGAGTCTTCGTCAGATTCGCTGTACTCCACGGCGATGCGACGGGACAATATAGTGGCCACGTCATTTCCAACCGGCTCCTTCTTTGCTTCCTGCTCCCGCTGTTCTTGCACCTTACGCAGCTGGATCCCTATGACAACAAAAAAAAAAAACGGAAAAGTGAGAAGTAGAACCAGAGATAAGTTTCATGAACATTAATTTGTTTATTATTAAAAGGATGAATCTCACAAAACCTCTCAAGAACTGATAAGAAATATGGCTCAGGCCATATTTCACACCATAATAATAATAATAATAATAAATGAATGTTCGAAAGTCTGTTTTTTTAAAGATTTTTAAAACGTTTTTTAAAGAAATCTTACATTCACCAACGCTGCATTTATTTGATCAAAAATAGTAATATTATGGAATATTATTGCGATTTAAAATAACTATCTTCTATTTGAATACATTTTAAAATGTAATTTATTCCAGTCAGAAAACCCTGAATTTTCAGCAGCCATTATTTCAGTTTTCAGTCTCACATGATCTTTCAGAAATCAGTCTTATATGCTCAAGAAGCATTTGTTTTGAATGCTGAAAACAGTTGTGCTGTTTAATATTTTTGTGGATTTTTTCCAACATTCTTTGATAAAATAGAAAGAACAGCCTTTATTTGAACTAGAAATCTTTTGTAACATTATAAATGTCTTACTGTCACTTTTGATCAATTTAATGCATCCTTGCTGAACAAAAGTTTATATTTTCTTAAAGAAACAAACAAAACAAATGGACCCCAAACTTTTGATTGTTATATTATATTATAGAATATAAACGTTTTTAAACTGTGACATTTTAGAATGCTGCCAATTCTCGTTATCATAAGGCAAAAAAAAAAAAAACCACCATTTGACACCATAACACTCAAACCCCACTTTATGTGTGACCTCTGACCTCGTCTGATGGCCGCCAGCAGGTGGCTGCGGGCATTAATATAAGAGAACATTAAGAGTTTTTACATTATTTTCATAACGCCACCACTTCTTATCATAATGCAAAAATAAATAAATAAAGTAAAGTACATTGTAGTCTCCATGTGACATCATAACACCCAAACCCCACTTAATAAGTGATCTCTTGACCTCGTCTGATGGCCGCCAGCAGGTCGCTGCGTGCATCGCTCATTGGGATGAGAGGTACCTGGCCCTTCCTGGGGACAACCGGTGCTTCCGCAGGGGCAGCGGGCATGGTGTGTGAGTGAGGGTGCGGGTGGGGGTGTGTGGGCGGCCCAGGTGGAGGTGGAGGGGGGGCTGCGGGAGGAGGATGGGTTGGGGAAGGGGTGTAGGAAGCAGGGAGGGCAGGGGTCGGAGGAGAAGGGTTGTAAGTCTGGGAAAGAGATGGCATGGCGCTGGCTGGGGCAGAGGAGGGGCCAGTGGGACTGTCAAAGGCAGTCTGGGCAGAGGGAATGAGAGGAGGAGGTGGAGGAGGAGCAGGAGGTACGAAATACTCTCGATGCTGAGACTGCTGACCACTGAGATGAGAAAAGAAATGAATCAAACCAAACACATTAACTGCACTCAGGAGATGAGCTATAAGCCTAGAGCTCACTGCAAGATGCAAATTCATTGGCCTTTTATGTTTTAAATTTGAGCATGTGTCATGCCAAACAAACGAACAAAGAAAAATTTTTGTTTTGATGTCAAAAATCTACTCTCAAATACTTATTGTTATTGTAAACTAAAGCAAACAAAATTAAAAACTGTTATTGTTAATTGAAATAAAGCTGAATTAATAAGATACATTTGATAAAAAAAGTGAAAATTGGAGTCAAACTAATTTAAGTACTACAATAGCTCAAACAAATCAATATAAATTATAGATAAAAATGGCAATAGCACATAACAAAAAAGCTGATAAAAATGACAAAAGCTTTAACAAAATTACTCAAATTTAAACCAAAATTAAAATTAAGAAAAATCTAGAAAGCTAATTCAAAATATTAATAGATACTATAATAGTATATAAATAATACTAAAATTATGCGTTTGTGTGTTAACAGATAGCTAGTGGTATAAAACGTGATAGCTACAGACTGATAAAAATGAATTTTTAGTTGACACAACTAGTCTGTGATTTGTTGTGCAAAATCTCATAACTTTTCCAAAACTAGAAACTGTGAGTCTGTGAGACCATTGTCTTGTTGTGAGTGTTTGGCCATAGAAATGATGCTACCTAAATTTTACACATGATCATATATGTTTTGTAGGCTATTTAGACTCTGAAGAAATACATAAATGATAAACAGAGCAATTCCAAGAAGGTCCTCACACCACTGGTGCGCAGGCCCTAAAAATGGAGCATTTAGACTAGGGTTTTGCAACCCCTAGGGGTTCATGGTGGAACTGCAGGAAGTTCATGGGACAGAGTATAATGATATACAAACGCAAACTGAATAAAATACAATATGAAGTAAAATCAAGTAAAAAAAAAAAGTTTTATACTCTATTATACTCTAATCTTACATACAAAATCATTCAGTCATTCAACATATTATTCATTATATTTACTGAATGGTTAGAATGTTTATCTGAATTTTTAGTGGGTATTTCATTTAAATAATTTAGATGATTAGAAAACTCTGCTTTACACCCTTTATATTACAGAGAGTTACTGAATTAAGAGAAGCCGAAGAATAACAGACCTGTAGTCTTTAGCCTGCAGGGGACGTGGCCCGTTGAGAGCGGGGTCTGTGACTGCTTGTCCATGGGAGGTCTGAACCCTGCCAATGGTCTGTCTCCCAGGTGGAGCGGAGGAGGAAGCGGGCGGCCGATACCCACGGTCCAGGGACTGGGTCTGGACATGAGAGGGGGCCATGAGGTGCTCTTTGCCATCGGCAGCGGAGTAAGCGCTGGTCACGGCCATCTGCTGAGCCGGGTGACTGGGGCTGCCTGGGTAAGAGTGCTCACCCATGTCTGAGGCAACCGACCTGATGATGGAAAAGACACAGAGAAAGATAGACAGTTGTGAGAGAGGGAAAAAAGGAAAAGAGAGAAATATTAAGTGCAAATATCTTTAAGCAATCTTGAGCTTTAAAAAGAATATTATGGATTCCAAAGTTCAGCTTTATTGAAAGCACATGTGTGGCATACTGTTTATTACAACAGATAATAATTTTCACTGTTGATTGTCAAAATTAGCCCCACAGTGGACTTCCAAAGTCTTCAGGGCAAGCCACCGCAGCAGAATAAATGTTAAAAGACAGTATTTTAAAAAGCAATAACAAAAGTCTGTAAGATTGTTTTTTTTTTTGGTGAAAATCCATTCAGCTCCAAGACTGCATTTATTTTATAAAATATATAGTAAAAAAGCAATATTGGGAAATATAAATACAATTTAAATGTTCAGCAGCCATTACTCCAGCCTTCAGTGTCATGTGATCCTTCAGAAATCATTCTAATAAGTAAACATTATACGTTCATTCTAATATGTAAAGTAAACAATGTGAACATTTTTCCTTTCATTACTACACACCAAAAAAAAACAAACAAACTAAAACAATGAACAGCACCATTCAACTACAGTACATATTTTCAACTTATATCTAAAACATTTTAATATACAGTATGAAACATGTTCACGCAGGGATGAAATGATAATTTATTAAAAAAGACAGTTTAAACTGATTCACTGAACGAATCAAACTTACTAACCCATTTTTAAACTTACATGTTTAAATGTAACTTTTTTACATGACTCTGATATGAACTGCTGCTTTATTTGCTTAAATGTGCAACAAAGAACGACCGTCTTTTCCATTTGGAAAATTATGAACCAAATAAAAAGCACATTAAAGCTATTACAATATGCACAATGTAAAATAATTAGTCAATATATCACCTACCTCAATCATCTAATTGTTTAACCTAATAAAAATGATTATAAAAACTAACAAATAAATAAATAGAACAGTATAATAATGTGAAGCTTTATGCCTCGTACACAACGGGACGATTATCGCGCGCGCTTATCGCCGACGTTTTTCGACGCGTCTTTTGTGTTCATACCCAAGCGATTTTCGCTGGCGATGAGCCGAGTGAACGTGCAAATTAGATGGTGCTTGATGAAAAACAGAAATACCCCGGTACACATAGAATCCTATTTGATCTGCAATTCCTCTCCATAACAACTCCCTCTTATCGAGATTTTTGTAGTCGCTGTCGCGTTTGTCATAAAGCCCTTTGTGTTCAGACACCAATGAGACCAGCAGCTCTACATTCATCTTGCCTAGATGCATCTTCTTGATCTACTTACTTCCTCTTTGTCGTTAGGTATCAATGTGTGCTCGGCAAGACCGTTTTGTGCTTAAGCACCACCAAGTCGTGTTTTACTGTAACTTCAGCAGCTCCAGGCACGTGAACAAAAGCGCCAAACTCATTGGTCGGCCAGTTTTTAACGCGGCTGATAATCGCGCGCGATATTCGTCCCGGTGTGAACAAGCCTTTAGATTGCTCTGGTATGACTCTCCAAGTGTTGGCAGCTCAAAGTGTCAACAGATGGCAGTAGTGAGCTATGCTAAACTGCAGCCCACTTGTATTGCCACTGAAAAAAAGCAAAAGAGACCACCAACCTGTTGTCTGGGGAAAGTGAGCCCTCAGAGGACATGCCGTGGTACGGAGAAGGCGTGAAACGGGCGTCTGGGCGGAACTCCTTATCATACGCCATTACATTCCACTCCTGCCTACGATTCCGAGCCTTACGAACCTTTTTCACCTCCCGACTGGGGTCCTCCACCTGCTTCTGCTGCTCCTGAGTGAGAGAGAGAGAGAGAATGAGAGAGGGAGAAAGAAAGGCTAGTGTTGCAAAAATCCAAGGGTTTCATCACAAATCACATTTGGTGAAAGAGGTTTAAACTGTCAAGCTAAAAGAGCAAAGTCACACACACAGACTGTAGTGTCCACATCTTTCACTGAAAAGTGCTGTGAAGAAAGTTTTCTACATAATACAGGGAATGCATTAAACAAACACACACACACACATGCACACACACGCACGCACGCACACGCACACGCACGCACACAGTAGAAAAGCTAGTGAAGAGACTGTAGGGAAAGAAAGTGAATGCACAATCTGGAGTCAGCAAAGTGAGGGACTGACGGATGAATAGAAGGACTGACAGTAATGCAGGTCTCTTACAGAGGATAGGAGGGGGCTTCTGAGATGGGCCTGCCTGGAGTGGGACTTAGTCTGGTCTGAGTGAGTCTGGCCTGAGCCGCTGGTCTGGAGAGAAGGGGCAAAGTCTGGGGGAGTTAGAGCTCTCATTCATGCACACATAAAGACACATCCAATGATGGGTTTCCTTCTGCTCTCTCCTTTGCATATAAACACAAAAGCTTCTGGTTTGAAGAGAGGAAATCAATCTGAGAAACAGTTTTTACAGGGGGCCCAGTAGTGCTATGGAAGCAAAGGGAGTTTGTCTGATGTCCTGTATTGTTATAGTATTGTTGATAAGTTAAAGTCAATCTTAACCATGTACTGTACCATGTACAACAACACTTATTTTGGTATCAACTTGGTACCGAAGTTCCAGCATTTTTGACATCCTTAAAGCAGTATGTGATTGTGGAAAGAACAGACAGCGTGAAACAGGACCATAAAGTGCACACAAAAACATATTTATGCAGTAGACACGCACACCTTCTGTCTCCTCCTTTCTTTTCTCTTGTCCTCTGTGGCTTGCAGCATTTTCTCCCTCCAGAGGTTAAAGAAGTAGGAGGGGTCTGTGTAGAACTTCAGTGCATCCTTCTTATCATCTCTATAGAAAGAAAGAAAAAGAAAGAGACATATGATGGTTGCTACAATAGCATTTGCTCAGTGTAGAGCTGTAACTCTCCAAACAAACAAAACAACTTGCTAAAATGAATAGGGCTTTCAGGCATACTTGAGAGTGAGAATATTCTAGGAGAGTACACTTGATATGCAGCAAGTGATTTATCATTTTGTCACACTACACCCGAGGTGCACAAACCGGAGAACGCGGAAATAGGAAATAAAACATGCAATTGAAACACATCTTCATTTTTATTAATTGAACATTTTAATATAATAAAGTTTTATATAATGCAACATTTACTTTCAGTCCACAGCCTTCAGTGAAGTTTGATTTTTGGCCCTTCATAGTAAAAGTTTGGGAACCTCTGTACTACATCATTACTTGTCTTAAAATGAGTTTGTTGCTGGAAAGGTTAAACTATTTTGAAACCTGGTGAGCTGATGTTATGCTACAGAAGAAAAATATTTATTTATTTATTTAGTCATTTAGCAGATGCTTTTATCCAAAGAGACTTACAAATGAGGACAATAAAAGCAGTCAAAACTAACAAAAGAGCAACAATATATAAGTGCAAATGACAAGTCTCGGTTAGCCTAACGCAGTACACGTAGCAAGGTGTGTATATATATATATATATATATATATATATTGAAGGACCTATCTGAGAGGTAAGACTCAAACCACTGGCGTGCGGTTCCTGAGATGCCATTTTCCAATAGGGTTGACAGGAGAATCTGGTGGTTCACCGTATCAAAAGCAGCAGACAGATCCAGCAAAATAAGTATAGAAGATTTGGAAGCCACTCTTGCCAGTCTTAGGGCTTCAACAAATATAAGACGCAATGTTGCTACTGTAGCTATTACACAATAAGAAATAGTAGAATGTTATTTGAGTTAATAATGCACAGAGAGTGAAGTGATGATGATCTCACCTGTAAGGGCTGAGAATATTGAGAGGGGGAGGTTTGTCTCCACGGTGGTAGAGCTCCAGCACAGGATTAGGGATGGAGTTTCTGGAAACCACCTGTTGGTCCTGAATGGTGGAGCTCTTGAAGGCCTTCCTCATGTTGATATCTTGCAGAGAGACTGAAGATGGGGGAGAGAGGAAGATTTCAGATTTATTCAGATTTATGCATTCATTTCATTATTGAGATTGCAAAAATGTGTAAATTTGACATTTTTTAGTACACAGATCTAAACATTCTTAGTACAATATACAGTGGGTACGGAAAGTATTCAGACCCCCTTAAATTTTTCACTCTTTGTTATATTGCAGCCATTTGCTAAAATCATTTAAGTTAATTTTTTTTCCTCATTAATGTACACACAGCACCCCATATTGATTAAGGGGGTCTGAATACTTTCTGTACCCACTGTATTTAGCAAAGAAGAAAAAGGGCATAGGATATTAAAATTTAGAGAACAAAGAATTAACATACACTTATATAATTAAAATGTATAATAATTAAATGTGTATAATTTAATTATTATTTAAAAGTATAAAAAAATGTGTATAATTAAAATACACTTATATGAAGGTAACGGCTATTACGGACACTACCCAATAACACTGATCTGAGATCAGTTCAGTGTTTACTATATGGTGATTAAAGGTGTGGTTTGACTAAGACAAACTGTCGCTTGATCATCATAAAGTGTTAAAGGGCCTTAAAGTAAAGCTGTGTGAAATCCCTGCTTAAGTCTCTTATGTGTTTGTTAAAGAAAGGATGAAGCTGTCCATGAGACAGCAGATGGTCAATCTCTTATTCACATGATCTGCTTCTCACCCTAATCAGGAATGGCACAAACATATGATAGATCAGCTGCGCATTTAAGAGCAACATCACTGCTTTGCCTGCCCTAGAGCATGTGGAGCTCCTGCCTCACAATCCCACATTTGTTTGTGTGCGTTTTTTTTTTTTCAATAGATGGAGCTGTTTGGCAGTGACTTCAGATGTTTTGCTTGCAGAAATCAAAAACAAGTATGAGATACTGAAAAAGTGATTAATCTCAACCCCTTATTAACACACACATTAAAACTTGGGACATCACGGTCAGTCAAAAGACGTATGATAACCAATGACAATTGTTTAAAATGGGCTTGTTACAATTGGTGTGTGACAGGTTTATATATATATATATATATATATATATATATACACACACACACACACACACACACACAAAAACTTACAAATATGTAATAATTCATATTTAAATCTAATATACAATTAAACTGAAATATACATAAATTCAATTAAAAGGAGAAAACTATGACTAAAAAGACATTGTATAAAAATTAACAGTCTGTCTCTGATAGAAAGTAGTGCAAAAGCGGAAACGAGTTTAGAGTTTAGATATTCTGTAACATCAGTCATGCAATGATCTATGACACTGTGGAAATTTATGTCTTAACTGTGGACCACTGCTAAATTATTTATTAGGTTCTTCTACATTAGTGTAGGGATTGTCTGTTACTGAGAGGGCGGGGCTTGTTTTGATGTAAAGAATGATGGACTGCCTCAATCGCCCTCTAATTATGTATGCCACAGGAGAACACACAATATTAAAGCACTGGCTGTGCCTCAGGGGCCACTGTACTGCTTTATTGAACATTAATAATACAAGACTGAGCATACTGGCTGATCTGATGGCAGGAATGGGGTATGAGGTCAAACCTGGGACAACTTATAAAACAAGGTGGTTCAGCTTTTCACAATATGTACTATGAGCCAGAATGCAATGCTGTTGTAATGGAAGAGAAAAGCCCTTTCCTTGCTTATTTGTTCAAATACCAAAAAACAGTCTGTCTAAAACAGCTATGACGTAGCTCACCCATTTAATCTTAAACCCGATCTCTGGCTTGACTGTTAAAATGGTTGTCTTTTATATTAATAAGCGATTCCAGTCAGATTCACATGTAATCAAAATGTTATTGATCCGAAAAAACTGAGCAGTGTTATTTTATTATCATTAATATACTATTATAGTTTTTATTAATATTTTGAATTAAGTTTTAGGTTTTAAGTTAACATTTTTGTATTTATTTTGTAATTTTTATCATAAAAAAAAAAGTTTAATTGTTTAAATGTTTAATTTTAGTTATTTTATTACACTGTTAAACTTAATGACAATAAGAAATGATGTTTTAGCAACTCGCTGAAAAAAGTTTGATTTTTGTTTGTTTTAGATCAGGGGTGCCCAAACTCGGTCCTGGAGGGCCGGTGTCCTGCAGAGTTTAGCTCCAACTTGCCTCAACACACCTGCTGGGAAGTTTCTAGTATGCCTATAAGAGCTTGATTAACTGGTTCAGGTGTGTTTAATTGGGGTTGGAGCTAAACTCTGCAGGACACCGGCCCTCCAGGACCGAGTTTGGGCACCCCTGTTTTAGATAATTATAATAACCCTGGCTCTAAGACATTAATATCCAATGAGGCACTGCTCTATAATATACAGCTCTACAAATCAGACACTAACTACATGCCTCATTTTATTAATTTAAGTTTTCTTCCTCTATTTCTTTTTTTTTCTCATTTTGTTTGTATCTCTAAATGCCTCTTTTGTCCTTGTGCGCAGTCTGTTCGAGTGCAAAAGAAGCTCAGTTTTAAGTCTGGATGGCTGGTTATAAATTAATAATTAGAACGGACATTAAGAGGGGGATGGGGTGAAATTTTTTGGATCAGACACAACCATGAATGCCAGCAAACCCCATCACCCTTTCTGGTAACACACACACACACACACACACACACACACAATATTCTGTCACTTCCTCTCTGTGAGATGTCTCGATATTCAGACATTCTTCTCCTCCTCCCACTCCCCACTTCCCAACCCTGCATTCTACATGCAGCACACATAAACCCCAGATCACCATCAGGTCAGACAGACACACACATTAGAGAGCTATAAACACACACACACGGCCCAGAAACCACACGCTGCGCATTCCCAGCAGGTTTTGCTCTCGGTGTGGTTGAGAGGTCATCGCTCACTGTGAATCAGGTGATAATGGAACGCTCAGACTTTAAAAGAAACGTCGATGTGTCTTCTCCGTAAGTGAGGGGTCACGGGGGAGCTGGAACATATAAACCCTCTTTATCGGCTCTCCAGTTATCGATCACAGCTGGGCGGAATGTTTTAAATAGACGAGTACATCGTTAGAACATGTAAAGTGGCCCTAATCTTGATTTTGCATCCGGACAGGGTGTTTACAGATAAGAATCTCTTCCCTTATGTCCATCAAACACATAGCCTGACATCAGAGTCGTGCTGTGCTCTGCTATCTGCTTCATTTATTGAGACAAGAGACGGTGCCACCAGGCACTGGATTTTTCTATTCCGCAGAGAGAAGAACAAAAGAAAGAGATGAGAGGAGTTAGAGGGAGGAGTTAAAGTGATACAGTTTGATCTCTCTCTCTTTCATGGCAAAGAAAGCTGGGTCATTCCTCTAACTACAGGCTAAAAGAAGACCATTATAAAGGACAGCACTCGAAGGCAAACGCACTCTCTCTCAGCTGCTAGCTGCTACAGCTGAAAGCTTGATAAGATCTGGAGATGATGCAGAGATTAAGCTTAACGCGTGATGTTACCCTCTTCCACTGTGGAGTCCAGTTGGGTGACTTTGATAGCCAGCAGGTCCACTCTCTCTTGCAGGTTATTCATACGCATGTAGAAACTGTTGGCTTCATTAAACAGCTCTCCAAAGATGTCCTCTGCGTGACGACCTGCAAGACAGAAGGCAACAGAAGCTAAGAGAACGGCGTACTGAAAAGATCAACTGAATTTCCATGCTAGGTTGGGTGTTGGTCGAGCTAGTGGTCTAGCACAGTGATGCTATTCATCACCAAATCTTGGTCAAGCTGGTGGACCAGAATGATGCTTTCTGACTTATTTCAACAGGCAACATATAAAAGATTATATAAAGAACAAACAATTCAATACAACTAAAAAAAGAGAGAAAAGCAGGGTGCCACTCACTCAGGCTGCCCAGTTGTTTGATGATGGCTGCCAGGGTGCTGTTGGTGACACACTCCAGTTCACTGGGCACTCCATCAGGCAGAGCTCCTCGACACAGGTGCTTGGGCTCGATACTCCTCTTCACCAGCGGCATGACTGACTACTGCTGAGAGAGAGAGAAATAGGAAGACCCATTAAGACACTTAATGAACTCAAACACCAAATGAGGAGGTATATTTCCGGAATTCATTTAAACTGAGAATATACACACACACATACAGTTAGGAGTTAGGAGTTTTTAAAACGTGTCATCATTTGTAAAAGTATATAAGAATTTCTTGAACTGACTTTTAATTTGACTATACATTTATTGTTTTTTTAATTGTTAAATAGATTAACTATTAAAATAGCTATAAAACAAACAGATTTAACCTGAGAATTGTCACAGCCAATATAAAAATAAGACATTTAAGAGAAAAATATATTTTTACACATTTTTAAATTATGTTTTTTAAGTTCAGGATAGGTTTTATTTAGATTTCATCTTTTAAAATGCATATGATAATTTCCTTGATTCACTTACAACATAAACTATATTTTTCACTTAAAATTAGTTGCTGAAAATTAGTAACTATAATCAGTGTTGGGAGTAACGCATTACAAAAGTAATAATATTACAGTAGTATATTACGTTTTGCTGTAACGCAGTAATATAACACATTACTAATAAAATTTGGGTAATATTATTACTCGTTACAATCTCGGTAACGCAAGTTACAACAACATATTTAATTAAGTGGTGAATTTACCAACACAGCAAAACAGCACCAGAGAAAAAATTCCGCAGGTAAAATAGTTTGTCTATCTTCTGTTGCTGGAATTAGATGGTTCAGATGACAGAGACGGATTCTACATTTGTGAGATGGACACACTCCTGTTATTTTCAGTTCATCGGAGAAAAGGATAAGAATGCATGCGGCGCTCTACGAAAGTCCAGGGAAAGGAAACCGAGATGACAGAAATAAAAGTAAACACATTGCAGTTTCGAATGATCTGTATGACCAAAGATGATGGAATATTTTTTTTGTTTGTTTCTGCTGTTAGATCGCGCCGGCGCCTCACGCGCACACAGCATTGCAAACGTTGCAGCCTGTTCATTATCAGAATAAAATACAGTCAACCAAACATATAGATACATATTACTGCACCGCAATAATTTCATAGCGCATTACCGTATGGCGCCCTGTGAGGATAATTAAAATTTAGGCTATTAGCTTACTACTCATTGAAAATGTTTTTTAAAGGTTTTTTTAAACAGGTCTATTAATTTATACAATTGAATTATAGGCCTATAATTAAAATTATTAACACTGCAGTCATCAATTAAAATTAAGAGCAGCTTTATTTCGTGCACAGATTGTCAAAAACAACCTGTTTAACACAAAATAAGTTTCTTCTCATGTTTTTCACTATACGGGCCACAAGAGAAATTATTAAGGGAATAATTTAAGACAGTTATATACCATCATCAGCTTATATTGAAGTAATGTTGTCTCTTGTTGTCTCAGAGAATATGCACCATTAATGCAGCGTTAGAAAGCTCCGTCGGTTTTTTTACTTTCACTTTCTCTAGAGTTTACTGACGTTCACTGGCATAACTCTTGTGCACATTTTGCTGTTGTTTGCTTGTGTTGCTTGACCCCTCCCCCATAATATCAATAGTTTATAGGCCACATATTAGGCAATTTTTCTTTTAATGTTTATTTTTCAGTGTTAATGAAAGTGACACCAAAAATAAGGGAACATCATTAGGAAATCCTTGGGGGGGCTGTGCCGGGGCTAATGAAAGTGACACCAAAAATAAGGGAACGTCAAGCCCCGCCCTAGCGCCGCCATTGATTAGCCTAATTCGTTTTGGCTTGTTTAGCAACTTATATTTTTCATTCTTGTTTTCTTCTGAAACCGTTCAAAATTGCCTATAGGCTAGGTATTGTGTTTATTGTTTGTACATTATAACATTTTGCTTTATTTACTGGTGTTATTTATGAATGTAATAATGCGGTTTCTGCTTATCTGTGTTTAACCTAAACTACAACGCAACATTAATGTAGACCTACATACCGGCATCTAAATATGATTTTATAATTTTATGCTATATAGACCTACCACATTACCCTCCACTGGGTGTAGAATGAGCAGCAATAAACTACATTTTGGCATTTTATAATACTTCTGTGGATATTTTGGTGAAAGTAACTCAAAAGTAGTGTAACGCATTACAATTCAGAGACAGTAATATTGTAATGTAACTAATTACTTTCAAAAGACAGTAACTAGTAATATATAATGTATTACATTTTGGAAGTAACTTGCCCAACACTGACTATAATATACTATAAAATTATAACTCAATGAAAGCTTTGAATGAAAGCTTACACACACTGAAATAACAAGCAAAAACAATGGCATACATTGCAAAATATGCGATTTGCTTGATGCTCCTAATATTCCAAAAGTCATTTAACCAAATATCGTGTTAGTCATTTAGATAACAATGTTCAATATGTCACATAAAACCAAATGTTTAAGTTTGTATAAGTTTAACACATCCGTCAAAGCAGCACTGGTCCAACAAGGCAAGTGACCGTATAATCAACTGACCCAAAACAGCCACACAGCCCTGGGTAGGGCTGGACAATAATTCAATATCAATATGTATCGCGATATAATTTTTTTCAATAACGGTGATATGATTTTTAAACACATTTCCGATATTTCGATATACATTACCAGTGTTTCCCATACATTGTTTTATTTGTGCCGTTTGACTTCGTTGAATAAACATGAGCACTGCACGTTTCAAAATCAAAAAATGTCGCGGGTGTTTTATATAAATGTATCTGTGAAGGGAACCGACTGTCTTCAGAAAAGTTTCAATGACATTTTAATTTTGATCTGATAAAGTAACGTTCATGAGCGGAGCTGCAGGAAAGAAATTATAGAAATTAATACTTTTATTTAGCAAGGATGCTTAAAATTGATCAAAAGTGATGATAAAGGCATTTATAATGTTACAAAAGATTTCTATTTCAGATAAATAGTGTTCATATCGATATCGGAATTATATCGTATTGACCGAAATTAAGAAATATACCGTGATATCAATTTTGGCCATATCGTCCAGCCCTAGCCCTGGGACATCCTCAATGTTGAGCCCTGTTTTTAGTCTTTGTTTACTGAGTGTACAAATGAAAGCCAATGTAAAGGTAAAAGTGTTAGTATGAAATTTGAAATCAGTTCTATAAAATCAAATCTCACAATGTAATATGGTTACATTGTCTTTTCGGTTGAGCCAGCATGCCTTAAGCATTTTGTGCTGATTAATCATTCGCCTGTATTTAATACAGACGTCTGACATAAGTGGGCCCGTTTCAAAAAAAGGACCTACTGTGGTCTGTTTCTGTTTACAGACCACCAATGACCACAGATAAACGCTAATAAAGACAGTCACTGGCATCACACACACTGATGCAGGCGCAATGGTTCAGTGACCTGGCCACACAGACAACATCGCCTGGCAACTAAAGCAGATGAGTATGCTGCTAATGAGACATGAAAAGAGCACTGTTATAGCCCGGTGGGACAGCAGACGTGTGTGTGTTCCCCTGCTTTCTTTGTGTGTCTAGTTATTATTTCGGTCTGAAAGTGATTGGAAAACCAGATTGTAAAGGTTAACAAACCTATTAAACTATATGACTATTCAAAAGTTTAGGGGCCGTATTTTTTTATTTTAAAGAGAAATACTTTTTACAAAAGATTTCTATTTAAAATAAATGCTGCTCTTTTTAATGTTCTATTCATCAAGTAATCCAAAAAAAGGTCAAATGTCAAATCATGGTTTTCACAAACATTAAACATTATGAATTTTTAAATTTTTTTCCCATGAGCTTTTCATTTAATTCTGCTCTCACAGTTTGAAGCAGACAATGTGGCCTGTCCAATTTAATGAACAACAACATGTGAATTTTCCCACTGGAATACACTTGAAATCGCTTGTATCTTGTCTTTTTTCACAGGGACACTATAAAACTATTTTCTCCCCAGTTCTTCACTTCTAACTACACTAGCATTTTTTACTATGTGGAAATCTTTTACTATGGGAATAAAATGCGACCAGATACTGTATATTATATATGTCAATAACGGAAGGTATTTTAAATTATGCGTCAATGTTTTTTAAATGTCATTATGATGGAATATTCTTCCTGCTTTTCATCAAGTGCTGGCACACACACCATCATAACAATTACACAGCAGTTCAATAACAGATCACTTTGCACTAAAACATTCACACTCTTTTTCAATCTGTCTTCTCTGAATCTCTCGGTCTGCTCATGAATAAAGCAGCAGAGCTGAGTGAGACTGTAGAGGCGCAGGGCTGTAATCCTCACTCCCTCGAGCGTTCGGCTGGACTGTGTGAAGTGTAAGTAACAAAAGGATGGGTTAATGGAGAGAGAGAGAGAGAGAGAGAGAGAGAGAGAGAGAGAGAATATCTGTCTGTGTTTTTTGGGGGAATGAAAGGACACATCAGACTCTCTCAAAACCCTGTGAACTGCCTGCCCACATTTACATTCATGCATTCGACTTTCAGAGAATTCATGATATGCATTTTATCAGCATGTCCCTGAGACTTAAACTCATGACCTTGGCATTGCTAGTGCCCTGCCCTGCCAGTAGAGCTACAAGAATGCTACCTACCTAGACAGTTTTGTTTGCTGCTGACTCAGTACACCTCTATGATTCTCAAATATGCTGTTTAAGCAGGTAGATCTCAACGAATTGAGACACAGACACTGATACTAACACCATGTCCCAACCTGGCATGAAGTAACACATTTTATTGAAACTGCTGTGCAAATTGACACAATCTCGGCCAATCAGAATCATTCCATCAGAATATGTCTGATGTTTAATAAAATACAGTTAGGTGGCTTTTGGACCAATAAGATTTAACTGTGGGTAGGACTACCTGTCACAAACCATGCAAAAATGTGATTAACATGGAAGAAATAGCATTTATTGATTTTCGGTTGGTTGTGTTTTGTCTGGTTAAGTTTAAAAGTTAGAGAAATTTCGGTCACATTTATTTTAAGGTCCAATTCTCAC